CATGCGCATTTTTTGGGCAGAGTGAGGGTTTATGGCAAACTGTCGCCGCACTTCATTATCTCCAGCGGTATGAAACAAGGTTGCCTGCTGTCACCTTCCCTCGTTAACATTGCTATTGACGAAGACGTGGAAACAGCGTTCGCTGGACACGATTTACAAGATATGGAGCTGTTTCCTGGTGAGCGACTTCTTGAGTTGGAGTATGCGGACGACATTGCCCCTAACTGTGACAGCCCCTAAACGTGCCAAGCAGCAGTGGACAGATTAGCACTGGCTGTCAATTGTTTTGGGTTATGCTTTGCTTCATGTAAATGCAAACTCCTGCTCCAAGATTGGCAGGGACCTATCCTTGCGCTGACCCTTGGTGGTGATCAGCTAGAAGTCGTTTAGGAACTCAAGTATCTGGGCAGCTATATTAGCGCTCGTGAGATTGAAGATTAGGTCCCGAGGTGCTTTTGCTAATCGCCGCCACCTGTGGCATTGATGCCATATCACTCTTGCCCTGAAGGGCAGAGTTTACAATGCAGCCGTCCTTTCAACCCTTCCCTACGTTTGTACTGCCTGACCCATCAGGTAGACAGACATAACGAGTCTAGCTTCTTTTGATCATTACTGCCTTCGCAGGTTTGCTCCAATCTGGTTGGAGCACCGCGTGAACAGTGAGCGTATTCAGCTTCACGTGTTTGGTGCTGGAAGAGCGAGTGAGTCGCGCAGCATCATTATATCACTCACCAGCCTTCGATGGCTGCGCCACGTGCTGCACAGGCCAACCCGTTAATTCCCGCGACGTGCGGTGTTTCCGCGCCCGGCATCTGTGTGGAAGAGGAGGAGAGTCCAAGCAACGACGTGGTCAAGAGGAATGAAAACCCTCACTCGAAGTTAGCATCGGTTGGTGTATCCCGACTGCATGGTTGGGGTCCGAAAGACGATGAACACGTTTGGTTGAACACGCTGATATGGCTAGGAGCAGGCCACAATAACGTCGATGGTGTGAGTTTCTTGGTACATCCCGTTCTCCTTTATATTCCCCTCCAATCACCATCTCATAGCAACATAATGATATGCGGGTTAAGATTATGGTGCCTGATTTTTGCATTTTGTAGCGTTCTCTTTAATATCTTATCTTTTTTATTGCGGCACGCTAGTGGAGGCGTATTTCTCACACTCAGCTCACTTGTATTGCTGCGGCTGCTGATGATCTTAATTAAGGCATTCTAGAATTGCGACCTATAGTTGCAAAAGTTCCGGAAATAACTTGTGGAGTTCAGTTTGATGCTGTCAGTGACCAGCGGTAGTATTTATTTCCCGCTGTACCATGATGCCGTCGGCATCAGGGAATCCGTTCGAAACGCTTATGCGTTCCGACGACTTAAGGAATTTCGGCTACTAATGTGGCCTCAGTAACCCACCCTGTGGGACACCGCATTGTAGTTGGATAGGATCCAACACGAATCCACGTATTTATACCTCTGGACGCCTGCGCGAAAATGTGCTTTATCATCGTAGGAGATGAACAACGTTGCTGTGTCTAATGCTTTGAGAAGAAGTTGCCGTGTTACAAACTATAATGCGCCTACGATATTAAACAAACTACGCCCATTCTCGTAATAAAACCCATCGTCTCAGTTCAGCTGGCTTGTACCACCAATAGATTAACCATACATCATCGATTCTTAAGTGACAGCCGGACTTATCCACGTAAGACACTAGCACATTAGTAACGATTTTGTTCGCGGGCTTTGAAAGTATTGGTAGAAGCGTCACTGGACGACAATTAGCTGATTAAAAACGACCATCTTTGTGCCATGCAACGCTATTTCATGTCGTCAAATAGTATGAAACGTCTTTCATCGAAGCAGGGGTAACAGAATCCAAACAGTTTCATACAAGCCGTTGACTGCCACGGCCAACGTCTTCTGGTGTGTAACAAGATCTGCGGGAAGGCTACGTGAATGCATAGAGCAGCTTTATCACGACAGTAGCGGCCGAAGAGGGTGATAAGAGGGAAACTGTGTAATGACCCAAACAAGAAAAGTTATGATAAAAGGAATTGAAAAGTTGTGACATACTGTGCCTCAGAGCATCAGCCACTTCTTTGATATCAATACTAGTCTACCCAATGTACCCAATGAGGAGCGGGGGGTCACTTTACTCCGTACAGTCTGTTCACATACACAGCATCTTATTATTTAAAGCAAATGGTTCTGCTAAAGCCCGCTGATATGTCGGTTTATCCTCGCGGAACAGTTGAGGTGTTCCACGTACGCTGTCCATGTACCCGGATTCCATTCGATCCTGTTCACATGCTATGTCGGGCTCTCAGTCACCTTAAGTATACACCTGCTCCATACAAATAAGGTCACGTCATTCAAACGGACAATTTAGTTTCAGATGCATTAACGAGCATGTTATCAAAATTACAGACAGAATTTTACAAGGAAAAATTCAGCACGTCATCTGCCAAGGCACTGCAGCTAGTTGCCTCGACCAGTTGATCTAGGGCGTCGCAGCGAGCAGTGGTTTTAGTCACCCGGTACTTACTACGGAATATTCTGCGTGTACAAGACGCCCACTGAAGTTTAGGACAATGTCCATGACCAAGCTCCGGAGTGTTACCTTTGTCACTGAATGTCAGATTCAATGTGAATGAACAGTTTGTTATCCTGAACGCGGTGGGCTAATTAAATTGGATAGAAAGCGGAAGGATATGAGCAAGATTGTGTAAATCGATCTTAAGCTGGGTTTCGAAGACGTCCTGGGGTAATCAACGATTACAATGTAAACATCGTTGCCTCCAAGTTTCAGACAGCTGAGATTAAAAACCGGATTTGGGCTTTCACTGTAGGCCGTCATCGAAGTGCGATCCATTCAATCACCGTTACTTGGTCGGTCATTCCGGAGAATAGCCTTACGCCGTAGTGCAACACAACTGCAAAACATGAACACTTGTTAACTTGCACTTCGAGCAGCTTTCTTAGCAAGCCCTGAACAATAGCGTACAAGCAAGAGAACTTCCCGATAACGGAAACATGTTGATAGCAGTGGTACAGTTCGTCAAATTAAACTGACATATGTAGGACCGGAGGTTACATTTTCGAGCGTTGTTAATGTATATCTAACAAATAAATCCTGATGTAGGGGCAAACGATTTGCAGGCCTTATTGCATACACGGTATGCTGTATAACAGCGCCTATAACAGTATCTTCTGTCATGGGCTGACCGTTATGTGAACCTGTGCAGAGATTTGACTTATTCCCCTGTGATATTGCGTTCTCTGCAGTAGCCCATGTTGGATGCCCGCTATTCGTCACTGCTTTTCAGTAGGTAGTCTTTTGTGAAATGTGAGTGCTTAGTAAAATCTTGGAGTACACCTGTCCCCGCTTGCTTGACACCACAATATTATGGGGGTATACATTGCCATGTACTGAGGTGTTTAATGTAATGGAGCTGGTCAGAACACCTTACCCCACATTGTTGAGATGCCAAACCAATACCTGTATGCTTGATTACTCACCTATATATTTGAGTGATTACCCTAACACCCCATCTCTCCTCTATTTCCGCATGCAGTACAACCGCAGTTTTGGTGCTGTTACAATTGAGCCATTTGTTCGTATAGATTTAAACGAAAAATATTACGCATAAACTGCTACTGTAGGATCCCTTCCTTGATAGCTCTAGCCTATCTCCACCTTTTGACATGTCCATCACTAGGTCCTATTCCTACCATCTACTATCCGTCCTATTCCACTTATTTTCTTCTTAGGTTTATATCCTGTAGGTTAGTGTCGTATTAAGCGCTACCGTCAGGTGTCCATATATTTTATTACTTGTTAGAATAAAGATTGCGCATTAACGTTTTAGGAACTTGAATAATATTGTGTGGAGCGTTTAACACAGTCTCACTTAATGCAGCTGTTCATTCTCTTCCCTTACAATGTCCCAAGGGAGCAGTGTGTTTCTATTCGTGTGAACAAGGTGGTTAATCAGAATTGCTTCCTTTAAAGGACAGATTTGGGATAGCTACCTTGTAGTTTAAACTTCACTCTTCACCGCTCTGGGATTGAGCACCAAAAATCCGTTTACAACCGAACCAACTACTGTTAATTCATCCGCCAGCATACCACATATACACTGAATTTAACGAAGCATCTCAGTCTACGTTAATTCCTTTGGGCCGCTACTAACTTCGATATAAGCATATTGTAAGGATAAACGCTCACTACAAAATGAAAGGACCTTGTTTACTTTCCTTTACGTAAAATGACCTAAACCGGTAGGGAGGGAAATACAGTTATTGGCTACTCATCTTCTGCATGTTTTGGCACTTCAGAAGTCTCGTTTTGCATACCGCACGGGTGGCGCTTTTGCCGTCGCCTCTTAGTCAAATTGCTTAGTTTATTACGAGACGTGGCTTCGCATGATACGAAGCAGTAAAAATCAACAGTGTCTTTAGAGACACTGTCCATTCGTTGCCGCTTTATCTTCATACGATAGCTGTTTGCAAATGCGTGTTATCGGTAGTCTTTAGAGTTTGTTTAAGGCATGTAAGTGCAATAATTGATCCCACTGCTCTTCCACTTATTTGTTCGCGTTATCTAACTCTTTACGCTTAGGTAACAGCGAGCCTTCCGTGCAACCTTTTGATGTGACGCTGTTGTGGTTTTCGATGATGATTTCCGCAGGGACAAAAGCTTTACACTATAGCGTTAGCAAAAGTTACCCTACTTTTCCGGTGAGCCCGACCACTGACTATTACCGAAGACGTAAAAACTGAGTGGACAACTCCGGCTTCGTGCGCTTATAAATCTTGCCAAAAGCATGCAGTCCACTGACGTGTATGCTTTAAACCCAAAAATGTGCGCCAGTGCACTAGGCAACTATGAGTTTAGTTCTCATTCAACTGAGAAACATAAGCCTGAATAGTGGCACTGTATTTCATTCAGACAAGTTAAGCTTAACGAGTCTGCCAATCAACGCAGCTGACTGGAACAAAAATCAATAATCGTAACGAACGCCCTGTTTGAATGGAGTGGAGTAGCAGTACAACATGGGCCAGTCCATCCTGCTAAAAATCGCACCTGCTCTTTACATATGCTTCACTTATCTTTTCCAAAATGGCAGCGGCACACCAACTTACTTAACTGCGAATAGACCGATAAATATCAGGTTTCTCTTCCCTCATTTCACTCCGTTTGAAGATATGAACCATGCGCTTTCCCGTGCTCAGCGAATGGGTTTACAATATTCTGAGGCACTAACCGACAGAACAGCTATTCGGATTTGGCCAGAAGTTGCAGCTAACATAACTTTTATAATACACAAATACATAGAGGCAGCTTTAGCTCTCAGAAGTGAAGGCAATCAATCATCTTCCAATTTCACTATGCACGAACTAAGCATCGAAGCCATCAAAGGTTCATCAGAAACAAATGAAAACTTTTTCTTATATAATCTTTTGCGAAGCACTGAATCTATGATAGCAGATGCCAAAGCAAAAGGACTGCCACCAGAATTTTATCAAGCTTTTCGAGACGAAAATTTGTTGGATGAATCTTCTGTTGCAGCTGAACCACTGTTTATGTTAGGAATGAGAGCTTGGAGAATGGTTTTCTTATTAGCTGTCAGTGCCAATCCTAGTTTATTCCTTACGGAGAAACTTGTCAGACCACCGTTACCGGACACTTTTTTAACTCCAAGCGACACACATGATGAATGGAGCTTAGCATTTATTGACGAATACTGTCGCCTCATTGAGGAGCACTATTCCGAAGTCATCACCATCCCCAACGGATTCTGCCCTAGCCCATGCATGATGGAACCATGCGCGAATATTCCCTTCACCTCTTCCGCTAAATGCATACCAACTGGGACGAAGTGGTATCAATTTAATTGCAGTTGTCAACCAAATTTTAAGTGGATACAATCACCAAATGCGATTGGTAAGTTAGATGAGTTGAAACATGAGTTTCGGATACAGATTTACTGAACATTTGCACTATTTTTAGTGAAATGAGTCGTCTTTCTAAAGCATGATAGTTTACCGAATATACTGATTGTTGGAGAATAAGTGCAATTTCACTGTATCTGATGCTAGTTGCTATCCAAGCAGTTCTGTATTCGCCAATTTGCTGACTCGGTAGTTTTGAGCTGAGAAGTGGTTAAGTAATAGGGTTGTAACGCCCTCCTAATTTTAGTTGTGTTTCCATTTGTAGGAAAGCATGATCGTCTTGGTAGGAAGCACTGCAATCATGAGAATACGCGATATACAGTATGGTGACATCACGGTGTTCGACTTTGCTAGATTCGTCATTTCTAGCTCGGCATGCTAAGATCAATTCTTCCTCTTCAAACTTGCTATAAACCGCATTAATCTGCAGGATATATCCATTCTGTGGGTTGCACTTCCAGCAGCGATGGCAGTTCAGAACTGACAAGACTTCCATTAGTTTCCTAAAAAAACATCGTTCCCATTTGATAGTTCACTTCAGAAAACCTCACTTGTGTAGTGTTTATCGGCAACCTCTGCTGCTCACCTGCTCCAGGTGATCGAACTCGAGAGAAATAAAGGAACAAATAGCCCATAAGCTATTCTAACCTCCCTAATGTGTGTCAAACCGTTTAGCTAACTGTTAATAGAAGCAATATAGTACATTGTGGCAAGGTTTGAAGGCCAAAGAAAATCACGGATATCAAGCAGAATGAACAATGAACAACGATTTCTCATAGGTAATAAAGCATATGCTTCACAAGTCCCGTAGGATGGTTGGAGTAAAAACTAAAATTTGAAAGATCACTGAATAAGTATATCGTTATTGCAAACGTTCACCGAGTTAAATGCACTACTGCATAACGATAGTTTGAAGTGGGTATTGGATGTACACACCCAAAATTGTATAGAGAGCTGTTATAGTTCAGTGAGTGCGTGAGAAATAAACAAGGAAACGATAACGCTTACTCGTTGATTTCTTCATTTGACAGATGTGGCATGTTAATGCAGTTTAGATACATCCAAGCTAATCACATAGACACTTCTTTATGTATCCTCACGGCCACATTGCGGAGAGGGCCGTTAAGCACATGGTTATGTTTACATTGTTTCGTCCTCAAAGTGGAACAGACTATATCAGGTAATGCAAGTTTGAAAATATTTCACTAAGGCTTTTTTTGAAAAGCTTTAATGTAGGGGCAAGGATAACGTGAGTCGGAAGGGTATTTCAGGCACGGCACAGACGGAAGGAGAAAATGTTTCGTTGACAATCAAGTCGACTGTAGTGCGTAGTCAGTTTGAGCTGATGGCCTCTCAGGTTAGTATGTTGGATCAGCCGCAACAGATTGCGACATGGGTGAGTTGGGCTCGTCAGTATTATGTAAACCATGATTAGCTCTCTTCGCTGACGTCGATAATTATCACTGCACAATCTCAGGGACTGTCGTCTGCGTTGGCAGGAGAGATGAAACAATCCTCGCTCTACATTCTGGAACGTCAAGTGCATCAATGTCCCGCTTGTGCCAAGGACGCCAGGCCCGCTTGGCATATTCCGCATGAGGCCTCGCGCAGGCGTTCAGCAGGTACGGAAAGATTGATGGCTCAAAATTGCCGAAAGCACATCGTAACAGTCCAAGATGTTGACTGGCTTTTTGATGCATTTTCAGCCTGTGTCGAGCAACCAAGATCGTCCTGCACGATCACTCCGAGACCGTTTGTTTGGGAAGCACGTTGTAACTGCTTGTCCCCAAGTCGATATTCATAGATCAGCTGATGGCGTATGCTTACGACTTTGCACTTGGTCACGTTAAACTGGAACCGGTTCACGGATGACCACGCATAAGCCCCGTCAAGATCGTACTACAATGCCATGTGATCATCCGATGTCCTAATTTCATGCCAGCTTTGGTATCACCTGTAAATATTACGAAATTCGACTGCAGTATACTGCCAAGTTCGTTAATGAATGCTAGGAATAAACTTGCCCTCAGTACCGATCCTTGAGGCACGCCACACTGAACGTCAATTGGGTCGGGAATAGAGCTGCGGACTCTCACATACAGCTGACGTTCAGCGAGGAAGTTGTCGATCCAACCGAGTAGTGAGTCGCCGATTCTGTAGCTTCGAAGCTTGGGAAGGAGAATGTGGTGGTCCAAATGATCGAACGCTTTCGAGAAGTCCAGGTAGCCAACGTCGACTCCCACTCTGGCATCGGTTGACTCTGCTCAGCTTGCTCGGGCTAGCAGCAAGTTTGTAGTGCAGTGTCGATTTCGACAGAATCCGTGTTGCTGTGACACACTGGGATATTGTTGCTCACAAGACATCCCATGAGCGAATCTGCAAATATACGTTCCAATACTTTGGATAAAACTTGGAGGAGAGGGATTGCACGGTAGTTCGAGGGCTCCGAACAATTATCACTTTTGTAACTAGTAGTGACTAGTCCATGTTTTCACATTGTCGGAACCTGCATTTCGTCGAGACAACGTTGCAAGAACCGAGCTAATGCTTCGGCAAGGTTCATGGCCGCTGTCTTCAAGGCCTTCAGGTTGACGTCGTCCACGCCAGCTGAGCTATGCACGCGCAGTGACATTAGGGTTTTTATCACATTGACTGCCGTGAACAATACGTGGTTCAACACTGATGGCGATGGAAGCTGTGTAAAAAGCGGATGAAATGATGACTCATTTCGGAAAGTATGGATGTATGTATGTATGTATCTCAACAGTCTATTAACTAGACATAGAGCCAGCAAAAACCATGAAGATCAGCAGAGAAGCAAGATTCGTCGTGTTTTTTAACCATCGTGGCATGCTAGTTGAAGGTAAGCAACACACTTCAACTAATATGCCGCAAGGAAGAATGGAACATGTTGATAAAAAGTATAACAAAACATTTTTTAGTTTGTTTTTCACACGCCGGTTTTTCTCTTTTTTGGCATTTTACTCTTTAAAGTATTAATCATGTGAATCAGTACAGTACTGTACACAATTCTTCCATTGATTCCGGTTGCGGGCCATATCTTCGAAAGTGCTGAGCCATTGGCACTCATCATCTTTGCGTCCCCATCCTGGAAGACGTACGGATCCAACAGGGCTAGACACGACGTCAGCGATTTCATGTGCTGCCGCCAAGTGGAAGGCTGACCACCACGCGGTCTCCTCCAGCCAGGTCCTTGACGAGCGAATAGAGCACGATGCGGTAGACGCTCAGGTGCTATGCGTAGGACGTGACCGAGCCATCTCAACTGGCGCAGCAAAACCAGTTTGTTGAAGGGAATACTCGCATTCCCCAAGATGCGACGTCGAACCTCATTACTATTAACTCGATGTTGCCACTAAACACGAGCGACCCTCCTTAAGCAACCGTTATCGAACGCAGAAAGACGACACATGTCTTCCACGCGAATCGGCCAGGACTCGCACCCATACAACAATACTGAGCGAACTGATGCGCTGTAAACGCGGCCCTTTAGTGAGAATGAGACGTCGCGACGACGCCACAAATGCATCAGATTGACAAATGCTGATCGAGCTTTAGCGATACGAAGAGAAACTTCTTTGCTGATAGTGCCGTCAGCAGAACCACAGCTCCCGAGGTAGACGAAACTATCTACTTGTTCAAGTTGTGCACCTTCGAGAGTGAGTACGGGAGCAGGTGAAAGCCAATCCTTGAGCAGTACTTTACACTTCGATGGGGCAAAGCTCATGCCATACTTAGATGCTTCAACCGCCAAACGATCCAGAATGAGTTGCATACTCTGAGGATCGTCACCAAGTAAGGCGATATCATCAGCATAATCTAAGTCGGTGGCGCGCTCACCCGGTAGAAGCTCTAAGCCGAAATGTTGGAAACCTTCTAGGGCATTCGACAGAACGTCTTCGATTGCGAAGTTGAAGAGGAATGGGGACATAGGGTAGCCCTGTCGCACACCGCTATTGACAGCGAATTGCGAGGAAAGCTTGCCATAGACCCTCACTCTGCCGGATGTATGCAGGTAAAGTGCTCGTAAGATGGCGTTATATTTCTCTGGCACTCCTTTCTTTAGTAAGCAACGCCATAAAGCCGGTCGATCAACGAAGTCAAAAGCGGCACGTATGTTCAGAAATGCAATGATAGTGGGCCTGTGATAAATGTGGCGATGTTCGATGAGCTGGCGGAGCGTGAAGATTTGATCCACGCATCCGCGGCCAGGACGGAAACCAGCTTGTTCTTCACGGTAGTATGATTCACATACTGGGGATAACCTGCGAAGCAGAATGGATGCCAATAGCTTAGAGGCAACCGAGATAAGACTAATCCCGCGATGATTTGCACATGAAGTGCGAGCGCCTTTCTTGAAAATCGGGACAATAACTGATTCTCCCTAAGTAGAAGGCACTTTCTCTTCATGCCGGATTTTTGCGAACAGCGCGGTCAGCTGGTTAAGGGTCACCACACCGCCGTACTTGAATAGTTCCGGAGGAAGTCCGTCTAAGCCGGCAGCCTTGAAGCGCTTCAAGCGTCGAATCTCGAGGCAAACTTCCGCTTCGCTGGGTGGATTCAGTGGGACGAGCCAGGGTAGACAACAACGTGTACTGCATGTGCTGATGGACGGTGGAGGCCAGTTGAACTGCGAATGAAAGTGCTCGGCCCAACGGTCCATACGCCTCTACTGGTTGGTGATCGGAGACTCATCCACCTCACAAATGACCACACTGACACCAGGCTTCCTGATGCCAGTGGACCGAATGAGTTGGAAAAGCCTGCGAGTGTTGCCAGAGTGGGCAGCAGTCTCCATCTCTAAAGCACGCTCAGACCACCATGTCTCGCGATCCTTGCGTAGGCTTTGCTTGAGCAGCCGGTTGGCCGAACGGCGCCGCTCATTGCAGTCTGATTCCGCGGGGATATCTTTGCGGCGTTCGAACAGCTCCGGAGAACGAACAGAGATCCAAGCCTTCAAGGGGCGTCGAG